GAGAAATTGTGTGGAAACATGACGCCCGAAGGGCGGAGTGTTTTCACACAATTTCGAGTTTTCCCAACTTCCACGAGTGTTGATATAACTATATATCAATACGGAAAAAATGTTTTATATTTGTTTTATAATATAGCAATGTCAAAAGTTCGAAGAATAAGAACAATTTCCGTGTTACAAGCGGCGGAAAATTTCCCGTGTTGACATGGAGTTATATCAACACGTCTCTTAGCCAATCAGCGTTCAGAATTTACAAATGCTATATTATAATATTATATTGAAGTACTAGATAAAACATGAGCAGCCGATCTGAATCTGATATACAAACTCGAGCCGAAGGCGAGAGTTTGTATATCAGATAAAGATCGGATGAGAATCAAAGCTGAAGTTTATGTAAATCAGGACAAATCTTTATCCGATTTACAAACATTGATTAAACATTCATTTCTTTTGTATTTTCTTCATGAATTGTTAATGAGTTTTTGAACTTTATTTAAACACGGTAGACTCATCATGATTTACAAAAGACATTACATACATCTATACATATTTACAGAAATAACATGAAATAATTACATGTAAAATTACAAAATCTAAAAACGAAACAACCTGCTTTCCACGAGTGCCGTGCATATGACTATATACAGAATAATATAAACATCTTAAAATTTAGATAAAAAAAGGTTAAGTTAAGAAACTGATGCAGCCAGAGCGAAACTCACTCAGAGTTTTAACCTGTCGCAACCCAATTGGAAGGATATTCCAAAGAACGGCACCTCTATAGCTAAAGCTATTTTTCAGAAAATTGGTGAGTGGCAATGGAATAGCAAGGCCGGCCTGAGTTGATAATTGGTGACGCTGCTGCGGTCAACAAGTCTCGAACTTAGATAATCTGGAGCAAGTCCATTTAGAGACTTATAAACCATGACAGCTTCACCAATTTGACGTTGTAATTCAAGATTTTTCCAGCCAAGGTCTTTGAATAAATTGTCAGCACTAGTGTCATAGCCAGAAAAAGTCAAAACCCGGGCGGCGCGGTTCTGCAATTTTTGAAGCTTAGTAGCGAGCGTTTTACTACAATTTCCCCACACGGTGCTGCAATAGTCAAAATGTGGCTGCAGAAGCGAGTTGAATATCAATTGCAGCGTCCTGTGTGGGGAAAGTGTTCTGGTTCGTTTTATCGCTCCAATGCCGCTGGCAATCTTTTTACACAGTCGATCGATATTTTCGCTCCAGGGAAGGTTCTCATCAATAGTAACCACCCAGAGATTTACAATTTGAAACCCGTTTTAATGAGGCACCATCAATAACTAATGATGGAGATTTCTCAAAAGTTCTTAATCTCTGTCTAGAACCAATTAACATAAATTCTGATTTCGATTTGTTAAGAGTGAGCTTATTAGCAATGAGCCATTCCTTAACGTTAGGGAGATCATGGTTCATATTATGTTCAATGACATCAATGCTATCACTAGCAAAAGATAAATTTGTCTCATCAGCGTACATACGAGGTTGTGTATAAGAAAGACAGTTAGCTAAATCATTAATGTATAAAGAATTAAAATACTAAAATAAGAGCGAGTTTGAAACAAAATCTCTAAATTCTTGTTTATGGCAGTTAAGTAGTTCCGTTTTGATTTTTACCAAGCATTTTTACCTCAATGTTGTCTATAACACATTTTTGAGAGCGCTCTAAAATAATGCTGATGTCAGCAATTTTATGTTTTCAAGAGGAAATGAATCGTTTGAATTCAACATTTTGGGGGGATTTTTGTAGTAATGACATGCAAAACATATAAAACACCCAATTTTGTGACTCTCTTTTTTAATTTTTTCTGGTTTCAAGTGTAACCCAAGAATTGTGTGGTGTTCATCTGGGATTTCAATTTGCCCTCATTACCGCGCTCCCAAATTTCACCCTCGTTGCCTCCTCTAGTGTTATTTATAATCTCTATGGTTCTTCGGTTGTCTCGTTGATAGTTATATTTATGGCCGCTTTCGTTCCCAAATTGGGTGCCACGTCGATAGCAGAGTCTGGCATGATGACTTCGTCGAGCTTCGTATCGTTCACGGCGGATAGAAATCTGTGTTCATGGCGGATATAAATCTGTGTTCACGGCGGACAGCAAGCTGTGTTCATGTGTTGCTTGTCTTTCTACACACAAATTCGGCTATCAGTATATTACATTTAGCGACGAGGATGGGATTCGACGTGCTCAAGCTCAGAGACACGTAAGATACCCTCGCAGCGGTCGAAAAAGTTTGAGGAAAGGCAGGAAATTTATTAAATCTGATAACCGAACATCGGCCATGTTGGGGAGTTTAATTCCGAACGAGAGACATTTCAATCCTATGTGGAAAGAATGGGAATTTATTTTTTTACGGCTAACAACATTGTTGAGACACCAGGGGCCGGTTGTATAAAAAAGTGATTAAAGTTAATTATAATTAAGTGGAAACGTCATCCAATAAGAAGCGCCTATTTGAGAGTTAATCACACTATTTAACTACAAAATAGTGATTAATTAAAAAAGTGATTAAGAGTTTTATACAACCGGCCCCAGGTTAAGCAAATGAAGAGGCTAATCAACTTGTCTAACTGAGATTGGACCGGATGTATACAGGTAATACAGCTATTTGAATGAAGTGCTCGTGATGTTACTTCGAGTGTATATCCACACCGGGCAGGCTTGAAAAATATGCCTGCCCACGGTGGGAATCGAACCTACAACCTTTGGAATACCAGCCCAATGCTCTGCCAACTGAGCTACGTGGTCAGGTCGAGTATGTGATATTTCGGAACTGAGTCTAGTTCCTTCGATATCAATGCGATCTAGTAATATGATTTTCTTTCTGTGTTGGTGTTATGTACTCAGGTGAATATGATGCTTGTGATGTTACTCTGAGTGTATATCCACACCGGGCAAGCTTGAAAAATATGCCTGGCCCAGGCCTTAAAATATCGGTCGGTCACGGACATTGTCCGACCCATTCACGAAATTGTCCGACGTAGAGAGGAAACCACCGGACATTCTGTCCGACCAAAGTGAAACTGAGGTTTATTGTTTGCCCGACCCGAGTGTATTGGTGTCCGACCGAACTGTAGCTTTGTCTGACGTAAATCAAAATGCACCCTAGACCAGGCTTGTATGTTAAATGGAAAATCAGAATACTATTGTATAAAAGGTGAACTGGAAATGTTAGAGAAAAGCAGAGAAAACCCCGCAACATTTTAATGCGAGTTTGTTTGTTAATATTTGGGTGCTGTCTCTGGGTGCTGTCATTGGTTCTTTTTTGACAATTGACGCGCGAATGGGGCGTGTTATGAAAAGGGGCGTTTTACAAAATACCGGGCCTTGCTTGCAGGCCCACTATCAGTTCCCTTGGGCCTGCATGCACGCGGGCTAAGTACATAACACCAACACAGAAAGAAAATCATATTACTATATAGTAATATAATTATATAGCTCAGTGCTTACAAAGTAATAAAATAATTATAAACAAAGCTAAAGCTAGGTTTACATCAAAATGGCAAGTTTTATAATAATTAAATTATTAAAATATTAAATTCCCATGCAGTCCAACCTTTAATTGGCAAGCTAAAATTTAGCAAGCTAAATTTATTGGCACGCTAAATTTTTTTTTCCTTGACCACAAAAATATCAAGATTTTCAGTCGAAACTCGAAGTTTATACACTGTTCAAAATTTGTGCAAAAACCAGGGAGTGAAATATTTTTATTTCAAGTGTAGTATCGCAGTTGGTCAGTGGTAATTGCCATAAGCCAAAGGAACCAATTGCCGTCAGCAAACATGAAAATCTGCCATGTTTTTGCAGACACTCGTTTGACTGACGGAAAGATAGGAGCAGTTCCTCCAGTAATATTTAGCTCATTGGTACTTTGCCACAACTTGCAAGGCACCCATGGAACTTAGGGGCCATACATAAGAGGGTTAGGGTGTGCTTGAACAATAGCCATATAATATTGTCACTGACAGAGAGTTGAGAATTTGTTGTTGAATCTATACCATGCAAAACAATAATTTGAACTTGTATTTTCATACCGTGAAGTGTGTTAGCTGACACAACTTGTAGATTCAATAAAAAATGAGGAATTAACTGGTTAGCACTTTTTTCCATCCAGCAAACCGCCCTATCGATTTTGTAAAGTCATTTCTTTTTGGATTTTTTTATTAATTCAGTTAGGGTTAGAGCTAGGGTTGAGGTTAGGGGTTAGAGTAGGGGTAGGGTTTGGGTTAGTTACATAGCCATTTAACACCTCTTCTATCTTGTGAAAATGACGTCAGGTCAGTTCATTGAACTATAAATAAACTGGAAGGCTAACTCAGGGGGGGAAATTGAAGCCAGTGCATTTTAGTTTTTCTGAGTTATGAGCAGAAATACTCAACACTGAACGTTGGGCTATATATCAAATTGAAGCTATTGAAAAACTCTATTTGGTGTAGAAATTTCAAGACTTTTGCTAAAAGGGAAATATTGAAAAACTACAAACATAATTACCGATAATTTGCCGTTTTGCAGTTGTTTTTGTATTTTTTAAAGATTTTTCTTTTCGCTGAAGTCTTGAAATTTCCACACCGAATAGCAATTTTCAATAGCTTCAATTTGATATATAGCCGACGTTTGGGGTCAAGTATTTCTGCTCATAACTCAGAAAAACTATTTTGGCTTCATCAAATCATAGGCCTTCATCATAGCAGTTAGCCTTCCAGTTTATTTATAGTTCAATGGGTCAGTTTGCTGGATGGAAAATAGTGCTAACTGAATTAACTATGTAAATCGTGCTGCCGCTAACGAAAAAATTAAAGTTGATCCTCCCATGCACCCGCAAGGGGGAGCTCACATATTTTCAGATAGAGGGTATATTTTGCCATTAACTGTCAGTCAGACGAAAAAGAGCGTCACATATATTTTTACAGCCCCTTTATAAGGTTAAGGAATAAGGATTATGATATGAATCTAGTTTCTGGACTAAACCTATTGTTCTACGGATTACCAGCAATTTCCCCAGTGTTTACAAACAACGAATTATAAAACTGACAATATTTTCATTTATATTTTGTATTAACTTCTCTTACCGATGTGACAAGCCAGTCCTGACCATAAACAAAATTATATTTGCAATAAAGCTCGTCAAATTCAGGAAACTAACAACAAAAAGTACAGAGTATAAACCATTGCCTTTGTTTTAAACTACATTATTTATCGGGTAACTTACTCTGGCTATTTCTATTTGACCTGAAACCATAACTAAAAAAACACTGCTGTGTAAACCCGCCATATTTGAACTAAACAGTAAACAAAGACGTTTATCAATAGATGTCCACTGAACACCCTATTTTAACGTCAAAATTTACTTAAAGATTTTTAAGATTAAATCAGTGCTGAACTTTTTTAACTTTGCTATTTGTGCAAGAAAATGCTTTTAACGATGCAGAAATAGTACTATATTCTTTTTATATCTCACGAGATATTTCAAAATAACTACTATACAAGCATTACATTGGCGAAAATTTTTACTTTTTCAATGGAAATTTTACCGAAGAAGTGGAAACAGATGTACTGAGTGTACCAAAGTGACCCTTAACATACCTGTTCTTAATCCGATTTTCAGAAATGCTTTGGATATTTTGACGTTAAAATTCACAGGTAAAATAAAGCCACATTTCTTATTTTTGCCATAGTTTTTGTGTACGATATTTAACTATAGATCTCTTTTTATTTTTATAGCATTAAAGCGTTATTAGAGGAAAAGAACGCGCGAAAATATATCACACATAACTTGTTTACATCACCATTAGCAACGGCTGAAAATACGCGACCAAGTTGGATTTCAATTGAATTTTGTTTGTAATGTGTTGCTATAATAAGGAAAAAGGAGTAGAATAACTCATTGACACGCTGAAGTCAAGATCTAAGAGTTTTTAACGGGATTTCTGGCAATTTTGTATGCATACTTCACATGTGAGTTAATTTGATAGTGTCCTTGGAAGGTGGAACTATTATATTATTGAGCTTCTCCATATAAAGCTTTTTAAGGTTTGGTTTGACTATAGTTACGTTTAATCAACGGATGACAGTATATTAATGGCAATGGGCTTTTGTTCGTGATGACATAAACTTGAAACTTCAACAGATATGGCTGTGTATTTTGACAATCGAATTCAGAGTTCGACTACATCAAATACTGATCTATTATGGCACAGTACATATGCACTGCTGGCCGTTGCATCCAAGAATTCTTCAGATAATGGTGGCTCAGTTAATTTTTATCTGGATGAGGTATTATAATAGCCAGTATGGTATACTGTAACATAAATATTACGAAGTGACTATATCAGACTAAGTCTATATTTGTTTGGCAGACGGACAGTGTTTTGAAAAAAACTTAAATGTCTGGCAGTTTTGGGTCTCTGTAAAGAGCGGAAACCGAAACGACTGAATCCAGAAACGACCGAAAATTTTCGCCTAATATTCCGCATAAAATTGCCTAAAATTTACCTCAAGTACATCGCTCCCATCTTAATTCGTCCATTTTGCAAATTCAACAAGATGACACAATGTTATTGAGCCAGCTAATTGAATTGAGCGTGGTTTCAATTTTAGGCAATTTTATGCAGGAAATTAGGTGGGAATTTCCGGTTTCGGTCATTTCCAGTTATGTTTGCAGTAGGTTTTCAGCAATCTGCCGTGGTTAAATGGTTTAGATGCTGCACTGGAAGTTGGTTGGGTCACGGTACGAATCCTGCTCCTGTCTATAGTTTTGGATGTTTATCAGGTGGTCATCCTCACTGATGGCGGACTGTCATGCATATAGTGAACACTGATTGGTCATATTTAATATTTGTGTTATAACGACTGCATGACATTACAAGCCAAAATTAACTTGCTTACTTATAACAGCAGTAAAGACTTCGACAACTTAAGCCCGTTTTCCACTTCACCATTTTGCTTGCCACCCAGCACTCAATATTACATTAAAACAACATTTCCAGTTCACTTTTTATACATTACTCTGATTCTACATTTAACACACAAGCCTCTAGTCCTGGACAAGGGTACATTTTGATTTACGTTGGACAAAGCTACAGTTAGGTCACAGAATAGAAAATAGACCAGAAGCCTCACTCAGCCAAAATTGTGTCCGAGATTTTTTATGTGCAAGCGCGAGCCAGCAAGTGTAATCACGACGCCATCAAACGCGAGCAACGCCATCAATTGCCATCACTAGGTAATAAAGATTGCTGTTTTAACCATTTTTAAATGCCACAGGTCCAAATAATGGGTCATCGCAACAGGAAGACACAACGTAAAAACCAAAAGCGTAAAATATTTGCCCAATAATTGCAGAATATGCAGCGTACACTTTGAGCATGTTTTTTGAATTTCAAGAAAAACCGTTGATTTGAGGAATTGACGCTGACGAACGCTGACGTGATGTTCGCAGCAAGTGTCACACACGTCATCTAGCGTGCGCAATTCGTGATCCGCAAGGTGAAAATCGCGGACACGAAAATGTTAAGGAAAGGTGTACAGTGAGGCTTCTGGTCTATTATATATTCTATGGTTAGGTTGGACACCAATACACTCGGGTCGGACAAACAATAATCCTCAGTGTCGCTTAGGTCAGACAGAATATCCAGTGGCTTCCTCTCTACGTCAGACAATTTCATGAATGGGTTGGACAATGTCTGTGACCGATCAATATTTTAAGGCTTGACATACACAAAGGCAAGGTTATATAACCAAAGGATGTGCCTTCCGTAAGGCTACTGTATAAATATAACATTGATTGTGATTTACTAGTTAATGGGCCAATGATATTCTATAACTTATATTGTCAGGGTGAGCTGCTTGAAGAGTCAAATTTAAACCGTCCTTCATCCCAAGTCAGTTCATTGTCATGGCATCCAGTCCGTAAGATCATCGCAGTTGGCTGGACCAATGGAGAGTTACTGACGTGGAATGAACATGAACAAGACTTACATGAAGTATACAGTATTCATAAGAGTAAAATCAACACAGTGAAGTGGAGTCACAATGGTCATAGGCTCATTACTGGAGATCAGGTGAGCAAAAATCTAGCATTGTTTTCTTTACAGTCTCATGTTTTCTTTACAGTCTATTTTTCTTTACTTGTGATGTTTGGCAAAATTTGCAAACATCACTCGATCGTACTATTAATCCCTAATTGTACTTGCCATCGCATGATTACCTATACTAATTAACTTCAGCCAATCACTTCAAGGTTAGTTTAATATAGCCACACACAGATTGGCTGGGCTGAAGATAATTATATGCATGAAGATAAACCCTTAATTGTTATTTTGAAGTGCATCTTCTCTGCATGCTAGCAACGGCATTTTGTTGAGAAATATGAGTCGTGGGCAGAATTTTTTTCAGTATCCCTCGGTATACTGAGCTTGTGATCTCCAGCATCCAAATTTGAAATCTGGTGTTGCCGGGATATCGGAATACCGCAAATTTGAAGCCCGGATAAAAGTATATGCAGATGACTGCACACAACACCAAACAGTGAGCGTATAGCTTACAACAATCTATAAAAAAATTCACATCATATATACTTCCTTAACAACTAACAAGTCCATTGTACTTTTTTATCTGAAGATGGATGCACAGGCGGATTTTCATTTTCTTAAAAGGAGGGGGTGGAAAACTCCCTAGTGGGTATGTGCAAGCACACCATTGAGCGAACTTTGGCAAGGGTTAGGCGTTAGGGTTAAAGACTTTACACTAGGAGCTGTAGGAGGGGTGAAGCGAAATTTTGGTGGGGTTGAACACTTTATAAGAGGGGAGGGGTTAGAGAAATTCTATGAGGATTTAACCCCCCTCGTAACCCCCCCCCCCCCCCCCCC